GGTCATTTTTGTTCCCCAAGGTCCTGCCAACAGCACAGAGACAGTGCTTGTCAAAGTAACAAGTGACGTTCTTCCTCTCTCTCTGTGACTTGATCTACATACTCCCTCTCGGCGATGTCATCCACAGAAATGGGGTTAACTTCCACATGTATACAGACGATGCCCAAATCTACTTCTCCTCCTCCTCCAGCTGCGACTCCCAGTCCGCTGATGTCCTGTCAGCTTGTTTGACGGACATCAAGGCCTGGATGAGCGCTTATTTCCTGCAGATAAATGTCAGCAAGACAGAAGCCGTCTTCTTTGTTTCCATCGACGCTTTTTCTCCTGCGGGTCTGGAATCCTCAACCTCCCTGAGCTCTCTCTCAAACTCTCTGAACCTGTGCGCAACTAAGGTGTCAGGTTCGATCTCCAGCTTTCCTGTCTACCCCACATACGTTCCCTGAACAGGACCTCTTTTTTCAAACTCCGCCACATTGCTCGCCTCTGTCCTCACCTCATAACCGACGCAGCCGAAACCCTTGTCCATGCCTTCGTTACTTTCCAGCTGGATTATTCTGATGGCCTCCTCGCTGGTTCCCCAGCTCCACCATACACAAAGTACAATTAATTCAAAACTACGCCGCCCGAATACTCACTCGCACAAAACTCTGTACCCCCATCACACCAGGCCTTGCCAGGCTCCGCTGACTCCCAATCACCGAACGGATCAATTTCAAGATCCTCTCACTCATTTTCAAATCCCTCATACCTTCCTACCTATTTGATCTGCTTGCCCCCCCACTCAGCTGGTTCCGGCCTCCTGTTTGTCCCTCGTGCCCTCCATTCCACCAGCGGTGGCCGAGCCTTCAACCTCTACACCCAGATACTCTGGAAATCTCTCCCACAATTCTTCCGCCTTGCCCATTCCCTCTCCACCTTCAAATACTGCCTAAAGACGATTGGTGACCTCCCCACTCTATCTCACCCTGGCTCAATGTCAGACTCCGCCACCACAAAGTTCTCCAGGACGCTACCCCGCGTGAAGGACGCTATATAAATGCAACTTGTTGTTGCATTAGAATAACTTTCTTGATAGCTAGTTGTTCTTGTACGCTGAATGGCATCCCTCTTCACTCAACTGCTTCAGTGACTGGATTTACCAAGTCTGGTAAATGGGAGGATGCAAATTTGTTTCATTCTTCCAGGACAAACTGGCTTTTTGAGTGTCACAGTGAGCAGCTTATAACTGGCTTCACAACAAAACAACAAAATTACATTTGTAGAGCGCCTTTCATGTCGGGAGGACGTCCCAAAGCACTGAACAGTCAGGTGTTGGGGCCCAAGCATGGGGGAGGGGAGGTATAGAGGTGAGGGGAGGCACAGAGGTGGGAGGAAGACCAAAGGCATGATCGAAGAGAAGGGTCTTGAGACCAACCTTGAAGGAGGCGAGGGAGGAAGCGAGGTGAAGGGACTGTGGGATGGAGTTCCAGAGTGTGGTGTAAGAGAGGCTGAAAGCCCGGCCACCGATGGTAGGGCAGGTCGGGCGGGAGACATGGAGCAGACCGGAGCCCGCTGAACAGAGGGAGCGGGCAGGTTGGTAGGGAGTCAGCAGGTCAGAGAGGTAGGAGGGCCTTGAAACTTGAACTCGATGTTCTGGGGGATGGGGAGCCAGTGGAGTCGGGCGAGGGTGGGAGTGATGGGCTCACGAGCTGCAGAGTTTTGGATGATCTGCAGCTTGTGAAGGGAAGAGTTGGGAAGGCCGATGAAGAGGGAGTTCCTGTAGTCAAGCCTTGATGTGACAAATGCGGGGGTGAGGGTTTCGGCAGCCTGAGGGGTGAGGCAGTGGCAGAGTCTGGCAATGTTGTGGAGGTGGTGGTAGGTGATGGTGTGCCGGTCATGGCGCAGATATGGGAGAAAAAGGGCAGTTCAGGGTCAAATAAGACACCCAGGTTCCTGACTGGCTTAGTGAGGTTGAGTGTTCAGCCGTGGAGGCTGATGCTGCCAGCGCCCAAGGTGCGGAGGCGCTGGCGAGAGCCAATCAGGAAGGCCTCGGTCTTGCTGACGTTGAGTTGGAGAAAGTTGTCCCTCATCCAGGACTTGATGTTGGACAGGCAGTCGGTCAGGACTCCAGTAATCCTGGAATTGAGGGTGGAGGCAGAGATAGGGTTGGGTGTCATTCGCATACATGTGGAAATTTACCCCATGTCTGCGGATAATGTCATCAAGGGGGAGCATGTAGAGGGTGAAGAGGAGGGGACCGAGGACAGAGCCCTGAGGAACAGTGCACGAGACGGTGCGGGGGCTGGAGGAGAAGCACAACCTTTGGCAAACCTTTGGGAAATGGAGATGATGAATCAGGGTTAAAGCTTCTGTCCATCTTATCTGGAACACCATTTTTCCTTAATAGTCTCAGCACCATTACAACCAATTTGCTGTAAATTGTATTCCATACAAAATATTGACCAATCTGGAACAGTTGACACCAAATCAACAGTGACTTCAGAAATCATCCTACAAGCATTTGAACACTTTCACGCAGGGCGTTTCTGCTAATTAGTATTACATAGGTTGTTGAAAGACATTATACAGGTTCCATCTCCTGCTGTGAACATCAAATTGTTACTTCCTAAACATAAACCACTCCAAACAATGGAGGCAAGATTAAACCCAAACTATAGATTGATTGTTAATGAATGACAAAATCAGAATTGGACTAAACCCCACCAATGAGCCATCCCTGCCAAAGCTCTCTCCTCTTTTAGACAGTCTCTGAAGATAATCTATTTAGTATAAAAGGAAAGCCGCTTTATATGCTATATTGCACATCTGTTGCATTTGTCTATAGAAACAGTCATTACATTTTACAGAAATTAATTGTGAAGCACTATAAGACGTTTCAATGTCACAGGGTGCTATAAAAATAAGACCTGTCTTTCTACTGAATGACACCATCATCAATCATTACAAGCAAAGACAGAACTGTGATTTACTATTGTCCTTGCATGAAACACAACAAACCGTTTGCATACAATGACAAGAGTAATGGAATTAGGAGATTTGCCTAAAAAATACAGTCACTATGCTTTATAGTAAAATTATGTGACGCACTGGGATTTCTTCCTGATATGAAGGGCACCATATCAAATGCAAAGATTTATTTATTTATTTATTTAACAAAGGCTCGACTGGTATCTTTTGTACTGTGTGGGGAAGGGAGATCATATGGCATACAAGATGGTTGTGCAAAAGTCAAATAGGAGCATGAACACACGAGAAGGTGAGAGAAATTAGACATGAAGCACATTTCACTACATTTTCTTTTCATTAGGCGTTTTACAATTATTATCTCTCAGGCATTAAGAGGAATTGAACAAGATGATCATTAGTTTATGGGGCTGTTTGCAGGACATTGCTGTGTGCAAACTTGCTGCTACATTCACCGACAAATATAGTCACTACGCACTTTCCAGTAAATCCTGTGATGCACTTTGAGACGTTCTGATGACCCTATAAGGCTTTACATCAAATACAAGACTTAATATAAACAAGAGTGCCATTAATTTGGTGAATTCTCAATTAGCTTACAAGTAATGTTGCAATGCAGTTGTTATAATTCCTGCCAATTTGCATACTGACAAACAGAAGTACTGTCTGCCTATTATGGTGATTACAATGGATGTTGAAGAACCCATGGCACTATGTCAAAGAATAGATGGTTCTAAGGAATATGCCTTGCAGCTTATTGAGCTATGAATCAGAAGTTTTATTCTGCCTGAATGTACCTTGTAGAGGCCATAGCAAATTTTGTTTATGATCACGTTCAATTCAGAGATTTCCTCCATTAGTTTTCTAAACAACTATGCTAACTTCATCTCAAGAGGCTAAAATCATTTGTCAGATAACATGGCAAAATGCAGACCATTCATAAAGCAATCTAGCAATCTAGTGAATCCAATTTCAGTAAACGCCCCAATCACCTCACCATGTACAACTGATAATAATCCTGGCAACTGATCCTGTCCTTTTCATTTCAGTAGGACATCTCAAGGCACCTCAAAGGATATATGGTACAGGTTAGTGAATGTGACTGTGTGTTTTGTAGGTGAATGCAGCAAACAATTTGGAAAGCAATGTCCCACAAACAGCCATGAAGTGGATGACTGATTTTATTTTGGGGTTTATTGGTGAGGACACTGAGAAACTTCCCTGTCTTTTTGAACAGTGCGATGAAATCTTTAATGTGCACCTGAATCAAAAGACATTCAATCCAAAGGACAGCACTTTCAACCATGCAGCACACCCCAACATTGTCAGCTAGAATATGTGAGCTCAAGTCCTGTTGTAGGGCTTGAACTCACATCCTTTGACTCAGAGGCAATAGTGCTATGAACTTAACAAGGCTGACACACAAACAGGTAAATTGACTGTCAAATGTTCCAGCATCTGGATTTCACAGTAGGTTAGGCCCAATACCCAAACCAGGAATGGCGAGAGTAGCATTTTGCCAGTATTGGATGTCATTGCGTATCGTACTTGAGAAATAGAATCCAATAAAGAATCACTTAATGGAGCTAAAGGTCTTGGACCAGAAAGTTACAAGTTCGAATTCCTATCTGTGCTGAATTAGCAGATTTAAGATGGGTAACAAGTTACAATTAGAATTCAGAATCCTGGGGAAAAGACCTGCCAGAGGTCCCACTCCTGATCGCTAGCCATTTGGTGAGGACAAAATTAAACTCTACTGTAATGCTCTCTGCGGACAAATTACCTGCCAACACCTCAATGTCAAGGTCCACACATAAATAACCATTCAGGTAAGTGACTACAGCCTGTGGAACTGATCCCCAGAATAATTGTGGGTTGGGGGGGAAGAAGAGAAATCAAACAGTTTTCAGGAAAGTTAGTGAGGTTAAAATTGAGGAAAGGGACAGAGAGAGAGAGAGGGGTGGAGGGGGGGGCGGGGTTGCAGAATCGTCAGATGGCATCTTATTGTGGAATTGCGATTATACATCTGACCTTACCTTGGTTGTCTCAGTTTCTGGCACGGAAGGACTTTTTGGACTTTCACTTGATTCCACTGTCTTTGAAATTTTCTCATCATTTGAAGTCAAGACCTCTGGGTCATCAAATACTTGCAGACTCACATCTTCAGTGCAAATAGCATGATCCACACCATTCTGGCTAAGATTACAATGGATAGCTGGAAAGAGGTATAGAAGCATTAGTGGAAAAGCAACTGTACATTTATTATAGTACCCTTCACGTGGGGTAGTGTCTCGGAACTCTGAACAGGGGCAGAGCTTAATGCCGAACTGGGGAGAGGGGGGAGGTGACCATAGGCACGGTGCGATCTGAAGATGGGGGAGGAGACAAGGCAGAGAAATTGAAGAAGAAAGTTCCACAGTTTGGGCCATAGTGGCTAAAGGCATGGCTACCGATAGTGGAGCGGAGGGGAAGAGGGACACGTAGGAGGCCGGAGACAGGTCAGAGAGGTACTGAAATCATCCATTTCAAAACAGAATATTCTTACAAAGGTTTGGCTTTTCTTTCTACCATGCTGAGGTCCAACTATAGTTTTATAAAAACTAAGCAACACTCTCTTGTACACAAACTAAGATTGAGCATTTATTAGTGGAGACTTCAGTGATATTTACTTGAACAACCAACTGAAGTCTATATCATTAAACTGCTGAGCGTCTTATGACATCAAATATTTGCTCTTTCCCAAAATGCAAAATACTGCAGATGCTGGAAATCTGAAAGAAAAACAGAAGTCGCTGGGAACACTCACTCAGCAGGTCAGGCAGCATCTATGGAGAAAGGAAAGTGAGTCAACATTTCGGGTCCACGACCCTTCGTCAGAACTGGGGCATGTTGGGAGGGAGCTCTTCCCCATTTGCTCTTTCCCATTGATCTGTTATACAATGATATATGATGCATCAGGTAATGTGTATACATCCATCTATAAAGTGTTGAATCCTCTCACTGGTGAGAGTATCCTGGTTTAACCTGGTTTAACAACGCCTAGCTATCATTTCAATGCACAGATGTCCCAAATCTTTTAAAGTGGAGTCCTGTAGCTCAGTGGTTAGAGCACTCGCTTTGCAAATGAGAGACCCGAGTTCAATTCCAGGCAGAGGGCGAAACCTTGGGCAAGTTTCCTTACTCCACACGCCTAATAATAATCCCTCCAAAACCAAAAACAATAATAAATTGGTCATTTTCAAACTACGACTGTTTGTGGGACATTGCTGCCGCGTTCGTCCACAAATATACAGTGAATTCACTTTACAGTGTGTTCTGTGAAGCGCTTTGGGACGTCCTCCCGACGTGAAAAGCGCTATATCAAATGCAAGGATTATTATTAAACAAAGCAATGGCACTCAGGTGGAGGCACACATGCAAGCTTGATCAGTGCCCACAAGTGAAATATCACAGTAGTTGCTGGAGCAGCTAACGTTACACATAGTACTTTTTTAAAAAAAATATTTAAATATTCAGGCATTTGTACAGAGCAGGTTGAGGGCAGGGACAATTCAATGGTATTTAAAAATAAAGAGTCTTTATCCAACTGCCATTTATCAAAGCTATTCTTAGAATTTAATAAGTACAAAATGAACATTAGAATTCTTCAAATGAAAAAAAATTGCACTGATCATTAAAGTGGGGCTTACAATAAAGCAAGTGCTGCCACAGAGTGGCGGAATGTGAGTTTCTCTCAGGATTTCTCTTACTCCCATCTACCATTGCCTGAAAATTCAAGGCTTTACCTGAAGTTGGTATAGCTTTATTAAAGATAAATATTATTCCAACCATTGCGCATTGTGGAGATTAAACATGATTTATGATATCAAAAGTACTCTTTTTTAAAACAAGCATACATTGCAGTCTCTGAATAATTACTTCACTTGAATGAATCAGTGAGATTAAACAGTGGAATGACAATTTTAATCCACTGTTAAGAAATCCACAAACCCTAATTTCCAAATAAAACTCAAATTCATTGCAAAAGACCTTGATCTGACCGCCCTCAACAGCTGAGCTTTCAGTCACTGTATCCTTATACTATGGAATTCTCTTTCGAAACCTCTGTCTCGTTTCCACTCTCCCTCTCCTCAAAACCCTCCTAAAGATGTACATCTTTTCTACCATGCCTTTAGTCAGTATTTTTAATTATTCCTGCTGTGCGCTCCCTACCACAATTGTTAAGTGGTGCAAGACAGTATCTCTCTGTATAAATGCAAGTTGCTGTAACAGCCAGTATCTATAACATAAAATTTGTCACAAGTAACCCGGTTGCTTTTCTAATGAAAGACAGAAGTTTCATTGATTGGAATACATTAAATAAACATTATCCAAAATGGGTATTCTTTGCCAACCATAATGAGGGGAAAGAGATAAAGTTTTAAATGCAGCTCGCCTCTGCTTCTAACACTACCATCATAAACCATAGCAATTTAGTTCAGTAAGAAAGGAAAATGAATTGTTGCCATGAAAACATACTATTAATTTCTTCATGCTTTGGACATCTCCTCCAAAGTTTTTAAACTGAGTTTGGTACAGTACACCGTTCATAAGCTACATCTTATGGTTTTCCACAAAAAGTTACATTCAGAGTGATCCAGGTTCCTCTCAAATCCTTATCCTTATCGATGTTGATTGCTCCTCTGAGCTTTGTTGCTTGTTCCTCCCAAGCTCTATAGACTGCTATACACTCTTTCAGTATTCAAATAAAAGACTTGCTGCGTGCCCTCCTACATGAAAGCATTATTTGTTAGTACTTCACTAAGAGCTCCTCATCAGTCTCCTACAAATCTAAAGGCTTTTGAAACACAAAACCATGGAATGATCTAACCACTACTTAAAATTATTTCATCTACTCTTTTCAATCTTGGCAGGTTCTGCATTATGGATCTTAACTCCTTTACTTAAATTTCCTCAAAAATATATTTATACTGTGAATGCAATATGAAAAAAAATGTACACTTCCAAATACCAGGTCCATTCCAGAACTTATTATCAGTAATCCCAGAAACGCATAAGGGCACATTAAAAAGATGCACACAAAGTCTCTTTTTTTGTCCACTGTTACTGAAATACAGAAATTCAAAAGATGGTGTCAGTCAGTGGGGGAAGGAAAGTTATGGTGTAAGCCTTCATTCTATATTTTATGAGAAAAGCCTTCCTGTTATACTCTGCAGGGATTTGAAGCACGGCAAATCAATATTCCAGGCACAGGAAGATTTATGGGATGATCATAAAATATTTATAGCTCGCTTCCTCACTGTAGCAACTTCAAAAGATTTCTATCCCATTCGCAAAAGTATCCCTGTAACTTGTAAACATGAGGAAAGGTTCCAATACGCTGTCAACAGTAACAGAAAGCTCGAAACTCACTGTGCATAATACAGCACTGCTTTGATTTAAATTACATGTTCCTTAATACAAGCTGAAAATTTACATCCACCAGCAATGTGAAAAATGGCTTTCTAATTGAATGGTTTCAATTACAACAGGAAAGCTTGAGGTGTTTATAACAAAAGTGCAATTACATAAGATACAATTTCTCTGCATTTTCTAGGAAGTCTTTAGTTAATTCTTTGGGTTGGGTGGTTGGGGTAGGGGGCGTGGGGGAAGAGAGAAAAGGTGAAAGAATTCACAATAGATCCCCAGAAATGGCTACTACCAGCTGATGATATTGAACTCCCAAAGCAAAGCTTGAACAGATATCATCATCTGAACAATCTCAAAGGCTCCCAATTTCCAACTGGTCTTCAAAGCCTACGTTCACGCTCTCTCACTTGACTTTACCTTACTCCTGCTACATCACCCATAAAATATACAGTCAATTCACTTTACAGTATATTCTGTGAATCTCTTTGAAAAGTCTCAAAGTTGTGATAAGGCGCTACATCAAATGCAAGGATTATTATTATTATAATAAGCCGCCAAAACTCTCATCCATGGGTTCATTGCATACAAACTCCATTATTCTGACATTTGCTAGCCAGACTGTGCAGCTCCTGCCTACACAAGCTGACCATCCAAACCTCTCCCCATCCCCAGTGGACCGAAATCAAGATCTTCATCATTTTGAATTCCCTCCGTAGCCACAATCATTCTAGGCTCTAGAACCTCCTGCACACTACTGCCCCAGCCTGTACCCTCTGCTTAGCAAACACCAGTCTGCTTCATGGTTCCCTACCCAATCTGTTCCACCATTGGTGGATGAGCTTTCAGCCATACTGCTCCTGCTCTCTGTAACTCTTTCCAGAGTTCTTCTACCAGGGGAGGATACGTTTGCAGGGCTATGGGGAGAGCGCAGGGGAGTGGGATTGATTTGGACAGCTCTTTTCAAAGAGCTGGCACAGACACGATGGGCCGAATGGCCTCATGTGCTGCATGATTCTATGATACCATGCACCCTCTCCACCTTCAAAACCTACCTTAGGACCTATCTTTTCAACCTCACCCTTGGCTACCTTTTACCTTTCACCCTCCCCTCAGCTAATCACTGCTCTTCCTGCTCTTCCGCCTCCCCCACACCCCCACCTCCCACCCCCCTCTCCCCCCCACCCCCACATTAAGTGTTCATGTCCTAAGTCAAAACATACATATTCACTCAATCCAGTGCTGCATGATTTGCCAATGACTTACGTTAAATGCTGTATTGCTAATAATAATAATCCTTGCATATAGCACTTTTCATGTCTTCCAGACACCTCAAAGCGCTTCACAGAATGTACTGTAAAGTGAATCAATTGTATATTTGTGGGCGAAAGCAGCAGCCAATTGCACACAGCAGTGTCCCACAAACAATTGTGTGTGATATGCATGCTACATACCCTTAAAGATAGATACATGCATGCAGATACACCCGAGCACAAGCAGATACATGCACTCACGCAGATACACATGCGGACGCATACACTCCGACACACGCAACGCAATGAGCTGTAGCAGCACATTCTTTAGCAGAAACTTGCCACATCATTGGAACAAAATTTTGCTCACAAAATATACAGTCACTACACTTCACTGTATATTCTGTGAAGCGCTTTGTGAAGCCTCGAAGCCGTGATAAGGCACTATAATCCAATGCAAAGATGAGTATTATTATAATAACAAAGCAGTTGATTGAAATGTTCTGCAAGCTTGTGTGCCAACAGCAAGTCCATGATGGTTCGTCCTATTCATATA